CTCTACTTAATTCTAATTCTTACATCTAGCTACTTGCTTACTGCATTTTATAGGACTAATGAAATTCCCCATATTCCCTCTAGTCTTCTGGCCCTTGCAGTATAGTACAGTGCCCTTTGTCTGAAACAAATCTTATCATCACCATTACCCACCCTAAGATGCTTTATTATCATTTATTTACTTTAGCTTTACCATTATCTGGAAAAGCCATGAGGACAAGGACTATGTTGCAAGGATCACAGTGAATTCTCAACACTTAGCAATGTCTAGAACTGAATGAATGAATGGATGTGTTTGAGGAACTGTTAAATAAAAGAACTCAAGTAAGTAAGTATGAATGATAGACTTAGAAAGATAAGTGGAACTAGACTGTCCAGGCAGAACTCAAACTGTCAGGACATCCTCTAGGCAATATACTGACATAATAAAACAACATTTTAAGAGGACTAATCAACTAATGGAGCATTAAGAGAAACAGAGAGTGGAAGTGGGCATACAAACCCTAAAACTATTAGGAAAGATCTTAGGCTTTCAAAGGAAAGGAAAGAGAAAAAGCAAAGTAAGTGTGAGAGTCACCATATGGTACCTTGCAGGTATTACAAATTCAACATCTCCAAAATTATAAATTCACCTTAATCCTGCCAAAGTTGCTCCAGGTCTTGGAACCCATACTTCCTTCTGACATGCACACAGATGCCCAATCCAGAGTCTACTAGAAAATCACTTCCCTCACCTCACTCCCACTCAAACAGAGTCAGCCACGAAATCTTAGTACTTACATTTGTTATCACCTTGCTTACAACCTCCTGTCTTCTCCAACTCATCTCTACTGCCTTTGTGTGGCCCTATTTGTTAACTGACATCCATACATAGCACATTGCTTATCAGCCCAAAATAGTCACTTGCTTCCCACTGCTTTAAGAATAAATTCAAATCCAAGCAGGCCAACAGGCCTTTCCTGGCAGCCCCACACACTCTCTACCTCTCTCTCTCTTTTTTTTTTTTCTTTTCTTTTCAAAGTTTTATTGATAAACATATAGCAATGAGACAGTTTCAAATCAAATCGAAAGAACAGTTTCAACAAATAATACACAGCATATATTCTTCTTAGTGGTTAATTGCAGTACAAGATGCAGACTTGTGATCCTACTTACAAACACCATTAGAACAAATCATTCTATTCATTAAGAGAATGCAACTATGTATCTATCCGAACCACT